GTAAAAGTACTCCCATTTAATTTCAATGATTTCACAATAAAGTATTCGAAAAAATATTTCAGGAAATGTAATATCATTTCAATCAAAATACAAATTTACTGTATGGTAAATATAAACTATGGTTTCAATGTAAAAAAACACAACTTTCTAGGTATTTAAACAAAGTATCCTAGTAAACATCTGAAGACACTGAGCTGTTATTAATTACATTATTTGTTGAAGTTTCAGAACTTTATGAGATACAATATTTGTAAGCAAGATTTAAATAGTTGAGTGGATCTGCATTTTTCCGTTTAAAATATTATTTTAGCATATGTGATTATCTAGGGGAAATGTTAACTTTTTGACCAAAGGTAATAGTTGATATAGATGAGCTTAACTACACTCAGACCCCTTCTAGCGTTAGCGTTGATCCCAAGTCCAAATAAAGGAGGAGGGTTAGGCATGGAGCTTGCAAACCTACCACATAGAAAACAACCTTGCTAAAATTCGCTTACTAAAAAGTCCATTTAAAATTTACTCTTGGAGTTAAAGAACCTTCATTAGAAGAGTTACAACGTCCGCCATGAGAACCACTCAAGCAACTGCAGAAATGAAAAGATATAACCTGGCGGTGCTTGGAATAAGTGAAAGCAATTGGACCCAAGTTGGACAGGAAAGATTAGCTTTGGGAGAGGTGCTGTGGTACTCTGACTATAAGGAAGAAGATGCTTCGCATACATAAGGAATTGCATTCACTCTGTCCGAGGAAGCACGAAAAGCACTTATAGGATGGGAATCTCATGTATTCAGGACCAACAAAGCCTCCTTCAAAACAAAGAAAGGAGAGATTACGATTAATGTCATTTGGAACCGTGCACTCACCAATGATAGCAGCGAGGACGCTAAAAACCACTTTGATGAGAGGTTGTAGTCAATCGTAGAGAAGTGTTCAGGAGAGGACCTGACCATTATGATGAGAAACCTAGACATCGGGGTCTGAACAGACAACACTTGTTTTGGAGACACGGATAGGTAGGAAGGAACAAACACGATGAGAGTTTTTCAAATTCATGTGCTTTCAACAGTGGTTATATCGAGCACCATAATCCCCTACAAACCCATAGACAAAGCTACATATGTCTCACCGGGTCACATTACGGATAACCAGATCGACTACATCAGTAAAAATTAGAGAAGGTCCAGGAAGACTTAATAATACGAACCTGGTGGCGGTTAAGATGAAACTGAGGTTAAAGAAGCACTGGACAACTGGCGAAACATAATTGCAAAGATCCAACACAGCTTTTCTCCGAGATACTTACAGGCTCATAGAATTCAAGAACACATAGAAACAGGTCCCAAGCCTTAGAAGGTTCACTCAAAGAAGAAGGGAATGCTGTGGAGAACAACTATAAATGGAGCACTAACTTCAGGAAGCTCTGGGACAAAATACTCATCATCATAAAGAATGGCTCTTTATCAAAACCCTGGACAGGATTCAAGGGAACAACGATGAGACAGCAAGTAACAACAGCCGAACAAAAATAGAGAAAGTCATGGCACAGATGAATATACAGAGGCAAACAAGAAAGTGAACAAGAGTATCATAGCTGATAAACAGAAATATGTGGTATACCTAATAATTATAGGAGGAAAAGCTGTAAGATAAAAAAAATATGTGGCGTTATGAAACTACATGATACAATGAAGGAGCTAGCTGAAATATATAGTAAAACGGAGTGATCAGAAAGGAACAAAAAATGAAAACCAATCTTTAAGTTTTATGAACAGCACGACAGATGAGTAGAGAACGTTGAGGAACTCTTGAATAAACCAGCCCCAAGGAACCCACTAGATATTGAAGCAGCACACACAGACATTTCTATAAATGCCACTCCATCAATGATGGGAGAAATCAGGATGGCCATCAGACAAATCAAGAATGGGAAAGTAGAAAGATCTGACAATATACCAGCTGAAGCACTGAAGTCAGACATAGAAGCAACTGCAAACATGCTCCACATTCTATTCAGGAAGATTTGGAGGGAAAAACAAGTCTGAACAGACTGAAAAGAAGGATACCACATTAAGATTTCAAAGAAATGAGATCTGAGCAAATATGAGAACTACAGAGGCATCACTCTACTGTCAGTACCACCAAACGTTTTCGACAGAGTGTTACTGAACCGGCTGAAAGACTCAGTATACACCACTTCGAGATCAAGTGGGTGGATTTCTTAAGGATGGGCTGTGTACAGACCAAATCACGACACTACGGATCGTTATTGAATAATAATTTGAATGGAACTTGTCACTATACATCAGCTGCTTTGAGTATGCGGAAATAATCGACATTTTGCGTCGGAAAACTTTACGTAGTGTGCCTCGATACTACGATGTACCTGAGAACATGGTCAAGACCATCCGGAATTCATATGACGGACCACACTGCGAATTCATGCATGGAGGACAGCTGACAAGTGCATTCCAATTGAAGACCTGTGTCAGAACTGTCAGCCAAAACCTAAACCAGAATTTCCAACATAACGTCAAGACAGTTCTGTTGTACAGAGCTGAAACTTGGAGAACTACTACAGCACACTCCGTTCACCTCAACAATGTAGAATTTTATTGAATGATTTTTCAATGAAGTTAAATTTATGTGAATCGAATGTTGAATTTGGAACAACTCATTCAATTACTTATTGTGATATTTATTATGCTGCTCTGTTCAATAACTTTAGATAGAATATAAGCTACATTGGAAGTAATTCATTTCATAGTTTAAAATATTTTTCTAATACAATGAATACAATTATGCCAAATATCTGTTGTTAGCACTCCTAAACAAGGATGTCTTTCGTGTGTTTAACATTATTAGCTCTGTGTTGCTGCTTATAGATTGATGGTACTGTCCTACATTCCCACTTTTTTTTAAATAAACCGGTAAGCTTAAATTACATGTCATTCATCTAATAATACTGCCAATTTGTTCGATTTAATCTACAACCTACAACATAACACTGCATAGTACGAATCTATAATGCAGCTTTCATCACACAGCGTTGCTCTGCTTGTCAACATATGTCTTCTTTTCAGGGAATGGTATATTAGGTATTCTGTATTCTAATTACATTTCTATGTTTAGGTGTTTAATAGATACACTGAATTTCATAATAGATTGTCCTGACCATTGACTTAATGAAGTAAGATTTGTACATAAAATCAGTACATATTACTTTCATTGCATTACTAACAAAATACTCATCTTAGATTATGATTAGCGATATAGTTCACTTTTTATACTTTAATTGATCCCCAAACTATTTGTTTGAAGAAATCTTATATGGGATTCAAATAAAATGTGATATGTCATAACTTTATCAAAATAGAGAATTTTTTATCATACTTAACTCTCTGTATACAGAAATTTAAACTCATTCTGAAACTGTATTCTGTTTAGGCAAAGATGGATAGTGGTTAGCAGTGGTTCGAGTCTCAACGTGAACACCAACTCTAAGATGCAGGTACATCCAGCTGATTAGTCCCAAATAGGGCGAAACGCTCATCCTGAATTCCATTGTTATTCACTATCCATCTTTGCTCATAAAGCTCGTAACTTCGAGCAATAATGAGGCAGTCCGCACAGGATGCACAAGAGACTGATCAACTGCAGTCCTAAATAACAGTAGGAAGATACAACTAAACAACACCAAGTGAATGCATTCCGTTTGTTTCGATCTCAGTAAAGATTACAAACGTATATGACTATGAAATAAGCGGGTCAGTATTTTATTGAATTTCTATCGATTAATGTTGGTAACCCAATCTGTACATGGAATTTCATTCTTTATTTGCATATATTTGTTAAAAATTATTCATTTATTAGTTTTTATCATTCCATACCGTATATAATTTGGCATAATCTCTTATCTTTTGGACAAGTATTTCACTCCAAAATAAATAAATCTTATGAACATTCTTCTCCCATTTTACCCTAATATGTCAATATAAATAATCAACTTTTATGTAACCGTATAAATATTTCTTATTTTGTCATCATCATCAACATCATCATAATTATTATTAATAGCGCCATCACTAATATCAATAGTAGTAATAGTATTCATATTAATATTTGAACCAGTACTTCTATTTCTTTGAACAATTGAAGAGTATTGATATTTACGTTTTAATACATGAAACATGTTGCCTTAGTTCATGTTTCTTTCTCTATTCAACAAATTTATTTCTCAAAGATACTAAATACTTCTAAAATTGTAATAAAATATTCACAAATATAGATTGTACAATTGTTTGCATAGTGTTTTTTTTTGTAATTTCATATGAATATAATACAATGGATAAATCGAGCTTAGTATAGTATTAGTCAATGAAACAACTGTTATCTAGCTCTTTAAAAATTACATTATAACTAAATTGATGATCATTTTGTTCATTTCCATGTTTGTTCGCTTCTTCTTTTAACTTTTTATTCTTTTTTTTCCCCTTTGGCATATGCGTATGTTTTTATTTGTTCACATAAAAAGTAATATTTGGCATAGTATATAAAATTTATTTTCCCTATAAGAAAATATCTTATCCATTTATTTATTTATTTACCTATGAATAATACAATTTCATTTATCATTGATCGCTTTAGCTTAGTATAATAGATAAGAAGTATTGTAATTAGTTACCTTAAAGTCAACATGATTTTATATTTACTAAGATGTACACACTGGAATAAATCACGAACAAGGTGATTTATATAATATAAACTTGAATCTATGAATGTAATGCTTTATTTTGTTAGTACATTGTATTAGTAGTGGGAAAAAACCAGGAATTAATATCATTGATAGTAAACAGTACATAATGAAGTTAGTCCAATATTCAAAGATAAATATAAATAGTAATTTACTCTAAATTAGTAAAAAATTTAATTACTGTATGTCAATTAATATAATGAGTTTTTTTTGTTCTGATTTTCTTTATATTCTACTAAACAAATACAGTGTCGGAACCTGGTAAATCTAAGAATAATCGTAGTAAAACTATACCAGTAGTGGATCAAATCAAATGTAATAGCTCTGGTGATTTAACGGTACATTTTGATGTTAATGCTGTACAAATTGATGGAAGTCTTCGAGCAGTTCATCATATCATTGTTCGTATACATGATCTTAATGACAATGGACCAAAGTTTGATCAAATTAGATGGCATAAACGTTTAAAAGAGGCACTTTATCGAGCCGGTAGGAGAATTGATCTACCAAAAGCTAGAGATATTGATATACTTGCTGAACATAGTAGAATAAATTATCGACTTGAATCATGGCATAATGATGGATCCAGTTCAATTATTCCTTTCAAAAGTCCTTTTAAACTGGAAGTAAGTAATTCAGGTCAACCTGGCTTAATATTGACCGAAGATTTGGATGCAGAAATGGAAACGAGACATAGGTTTGTCTTAGTTGCTTACAGTCCGAATGTTATTGATTCAAAGAACGCATTGAATGGTCAAACAATCTCACGTGAATCTCGTCTGGAAATTGATATTGAAGTAGCAGATATGAATGATAACGAACCCAGATTCTCATTTACTGTATATAATATCAGTGTAGCTGAAAATACATCAGTTGGGACTGTCATTTATGAAGTAAGTAATTAATAAAATTTACATATTTGTATATAACATCTGTCAACCTGTAACTGAATAGTCTTCATCTTGGATTAAAACAATTTTAACCGTATGAAGCAAAACATACTTAGGCTTACTCTGAAGAAATTACAACCTTATAGAAATCAATGTATACATTTTTACTAAGTAATCAAGGGTGAAATGATATACTAAGCCTTCTACAAAGAGAATTAAAAATCATAACAAAAGGGTAAAATTTAATTCTTTACATTAAAACTTGGAATATTAAACTGAAAGACAGTTATCATATTGTTGATATTCATCAACTTCTTGAATCGGATCGGAAAGACGGTATTAAACTATTATCCTATATTTTACGAAAGAAAAGTAGCATCAGTTATATTATACCATTCTTAAAATACAAAAATAATTTATCTCCCTTAAATTCCATCACAGTTTATTGAAAGAATACCTACATTTTGTTCATAATATGGTTAAATTCGCTTCACATTTTAACCATACTTCTAATCCTCAACTATCAGAGTTTCGTTCAATAGGAGGTAACTGGTACAGTTATTGATCAAAAAGTTCCAGTAACTAAGTTACAAGATAGTCCTTAAACATGTAGCTAATTTGTCTGCATTGAGTCACATCAGCTCGTTACTTCAATTTATTCCAATTAGCTGAAATTTCTAAAAAAATTTGTTATTTTTTGCTTCAGAAGAACGACAACTTAGTCAGATTAGCACTGTCCCATACTATAATTAATGAGTTTCTAAAGGATTCCTCATTTTTTGTCAGGATTCCTTTTCAGTACTATTAGTTGCATTCATGTACTGTTGTTTACCCGAACAACATCTCAGACTTTGTAAATTAGTGATATAGTCTTTAACTTTGAAATGATGTATTAGGAGTTAGGTTCTAGGATGATGAGGGTATAGGAAAGAAATCCCTTTTAATTTTTTTTGCTCTATATATCTTCTAGCTACTTTCCATACTTTCCGCCTAATGTTTATCAAAATTCACCAGATTCTACGAAAATTAGTTGGATGACCATTAAACATTAAGGAAGCATATACATAAATTAATTTTAGTTTAGGACTCCTCAGCGGTATGGATCAACAACTCCAGAAGAGGATAGAGCCCATAACCTTAAAATCTAATATTAAGGATGATAATATACAACCAGGGAATATTTAATAATTGATTACATTCTTATTCTCAGCTAACTAACGGTATCATGTTAACGATAGATAATTACCTCACTATCAATTTTGATAAATTTTTGTTCCATTGCTATCAATTAGAACCTGGATTGGTCCATTTTACAATTAATGAACACCAAATGAATCAGTCACTAGTATGTACAGTGAAGTATATTCCTAACTAAATATGAGTATTAAAGAATGATATGATATTTCATCTGTGAGACAATAAAATACAATAATGAAATGATTCGTATGCATTATCTTAATAGCCAGCATCAATATTCAATGTCACGTAATGCATTCACGATTTAGACGATATAAACACTTGATTCTTGTAAGGTTAGGCTTCAACGATAACCATTAACAAATTACATAGAGTTCGAATAGTTATAATCTTTGTTATTTCGTTGGGACACAGGATTAGTCTGTCTTCGTAGATAACCAACACAGGTTGGACGACTATATTTCAATGCAACCACCAAATTTGTTCGTCTAACCAGAATGTTCTTTTCAGTACTGCTAAGTATATCACATAATTCGATAAGTACACTTTTATTGAAACCTCTATAGCTTACTAATTTCTAATAATTAAGTGTTCTGAGATGAAACTATCATTCACTGTGATTTACATGAAGCTAGTGCTAACAAATCCCGAAGTAACACTATTTTTACAACCATTAATATAATGTCTTTAAAGTGAGGTTTTGATGGATGAATGGTTGCGATTCATTAATCTGATTGGCCAGCATTGCAAAAAATACGCTGAATAAAACTTTGTGATATCAGTTAATATTTCAGACCTATTCCTCCAAACATAAAATTTGATCGGCATAGGTTAGAAATGTCTACTCGTTTATTAATATCCATGTACATTTTTATCTGCATGTGTGTGTGCGTGGTATAAGAATTCAACTTATTTGTATAACATGTTTCAGGAAGGGGTTGACCCTGTAAACATGACAAATTAAACAAAAACCATTCACAAAGGTGAACCAGTCGGTTACTGAATTCATAAACAATGTTAGCTATATGAATTGGGTTTAGTTTAGAACAAAAAACAGACAAACTTCAGGCTTATGTTTTCCAGCTGAAAAATCTATGAAACTGAGAATTTTTATCCAGCTAGAATAAAATTCAATAATAAGTAAATCTCGAAATATATAATATACACCATTGCTCTAACAGGGTTACTGCCGGTCCCAAGCCCGGATAAAGGAGGAGGGTTGGGCATGGGGTTAGCGTCCCCATCCCGTAGAAAACTAACTCGCTAAAAAAACGCTTACCAGAAAAAATAATCCAAACCATTTAAACTCTGCCCTGGGAGTTAGAAGGTCTTCAGTTAGAAGAATTATGACGCTTCATGGTGAAAGCCGAGTTCCTTCGGAAGCCACGAGGCCGATGCCCCTTCTAACAACCAGAGCAAAAATTTTTATAGGTACATGGAACGTTCGAACAATGTGGGAAACCGGGAAGACCAGTCAAATAGCAATGGAAATGAGGAGATACAACTTAGCAGTACTGGGAATCAGCGAAACCCACTGGACCCAAGCTGGACAGAAAAGGCTAGCTACGGGAGAGATGCTGCTATACTCCGGTCACGAAGAGGAAATGCTCCACACACTCAGGGAGTCGCTCTTATGCTGTCCAAAGTAGCACGAAATGCACTTGTAGGATGGGAGTCTCACGGATCCAGAATCATCAAAGCATCATTCAAAACAAAGAAGGAGGGGATCTTAATGAATATTATCCAATGTTATGCACCCACCAATGATAGCAACGACGACATTAAAGATCAGTTCTACGAGCGGCTGCAGTCAATCATTGAGAAATGCCAAGAAAGGACCTAACTATTCTGATGGGAGATCTAAATGCCAAAGTCGGAATAGACAACACTGGATATGAAGATATTATGGGACGACATGGACTGGGAGAAAGAAACGAAAATGGAGAAAGATTTGCAAATCTATGTGCATTCAACAAATTGGTCATAGGAGGCACAATATTTCCACACAAGCGTATACACAAGGCTACATGGATCTCACCGGACCACACTACAGAGAACCAAATAGATCATATTTGCATCAACAAAAAATTCCGAAGGACAATGGAAGATGTGAGAACCAGGAGAGGTGCTGACGTAGCTTCAGATCACCACCTAGTTGTAGCCAATTTAAAACTGAAGCTAAAAAAGAACTGGACAAGTGGACAAACAGCACTACAAAGGTTCAATACAGCCTTCCTTCGAGATACTGACAAACTCAATGAATTCAAGATAGCTCTCAACAACAGGTTCCAAGCCTTACAAGATCTACTGAAGAAGAAGAAACTACTATGGAGGACAACTGGAAAGGCATCAAGGAAGCATTAACTTCAACGTGTCAAGAGGTTCTGGGCCTAAAGAAACACCATCATAAGGAATGGATCTCTATAGAAACACTGGACAAGATCAAAGAAAGGAAGAACAAGAAGGCAGCAATTAACAACAGCCGAACACGAGCAGAGAAAGTCCAAGCACAAGCTGAATACATAGAAGCAAACAAACAAGTGAAGAGGAGCATTAGAGCCGACAAGAAGAAATACGTGGAAGAACTAGCAACGACGGCAGAAAAAGCTGCTAGAGAAGGAAATATGAAACAGCTTCACGATACAACGAAGAAACTAGCAGGGAAATACAGTAAACCAGAGAGGCCGGTCAAAGACAAAGAAGGCAAGCCAATCACCGAAATTCAACAACAGCGTAACAGATGGGTAGAATACTTCGAGGAACTCCTGAATAGGCCGGCTCCAATGAATCCACCGGACATCGAAGCAGCACACATAGATCTTCCTATAGATGTCAACCCACCAACGACGGAAGAAATTAGAATGGCCGTCAGACAAATCAAGAACGGGAAAGCAGCAGGACCCGACAACATACCAGCTGAAGCACTGAAATCAGACATCGAAGCAACCACAAGCATGCTATACCTTCTATTCAAAAAGATTTGGGAGGAGGAACAAGTGCCAATGGACTGGAAAGAAGGACACCTCGTCAAGATTCCAAAGAAAGGAGATCTGAGCAAATGTGAAAACTACAGAGGCATTACACTACTGTCAATACCAGGGAAAGTCTTCAACAGAGTGTTGCTGAACCGGATGAAGGATGCAGTAGACGCCCAACTTCGAGATCAACAAGCTGGATTCCGTAAGGATCGGTCGTGCACAGACCAAATTGCAACACTACGGATCATCGTCGAACAATCAGTTGAGTGGAACTCATCACTATACATCAACTTCATTGATTATGAAAAGGCATTCGACAGTGTAGATAGGAGGACATTATGGAAACTTCTTCGACACTACGGAGTTCCTGAGAAGATTGTCAACATTATCCGGAACTCATACGACGGACTACAGTGCAAAGTAGTGCATGGAGGACAGCTGACAGATGCATTCCAAGTAAGGACTGGAGTCAGACAAGGCTGTTTACTCTCTCCCTTCCTCTTTCTTCTGGTGGTCGACTGGATTATGAAGACCTCAACATCTGAAGGAAAACACGGAATACAATGGACAGCTCAGAATCAATTAGACGATTTGGACTTCGCAGACGACCTAGCCCTCCTATCACGTACACACGAACAGATGCAGATGAAGACAGCCAGTGTAGCAGCAGTCTCTGCATCAGTAGGCCTCAGCATACACAAAGGGAAAACCAAGGTCCTCAAATTCAAGCGGAGAACAGCAATCCAATCACTCTTGATGGCGAAACTCTGGAAGATGTAGAGTCCTTCACATACCTGGGAAGCATCATCGATGAACAAGGAGGTTCAG